TGTTGTTGTGTTCATTCTGTTAAAGGTTTTTTGTATGCTGATATAATGGAAAAATGTTTGCATTCTTTGCTGCCTGAGTTGCTAGTTGTATGATGCCAGTATTGCATCTTTATAATATACTTGTATCTTTAGTAGTTATGACAGCTACCTGTGAGGATTGGAATGTTCCTCTCCTTAATATTGTAGCTCCTCTTGGGACAACTGGCGCTTTTAATTTTAAGCCTTCCTCCTTCTGCTGCTGTTTAGATAAGTGAGGTAACCGTATATCTTGGCCAATGAATTTCTGTTTTTTTTTTTGTTTTGCCTGAGTGAACCTAAAAAAGATGGATGTGCTGCCTCCCAGTGTAGAGTAAATATGGGACTGTTGGATTTTACAGCTCACATGACCAACTTTCATAGAACCTCCTATGTCCCCAGGAGCTTTTAAATGTGTTTTCCACTGCCGCTCACTTGTGCTCAGAGTGGATCTTAGGAGTAGCAACAGAAGCCTAAAAAACCTTGTAAAATGTCAGGAAGAAAGAAAAAAAAATCTCAGAATGATGAGGCAAAGATGTGAAAAGTCCCTAGGAATAAGAACTACTGTTGAGAGATCATGCAGGTCTGAAGGTCTCTGCAACTCACTAATTCATAGTACGTTATTTATAGGTGTTTTGGCAGTATCTGAAGAGTGACCATTAAAACACTCCACTGAAACTGTGTTTTTTCTTGGTGACAGTCAGATTTACAGGACTTCAGAATACAGTTTGTGTGATGCTATTGGCTTTGCCCTTACTAACAGTAGACGCAGTATGTGGCAGAATGGGGTGATAGCGAAATTTGGATGTGCAGGCTGAGCACGAGGATTTGGGTCGCAGAGCAGACAACTTTATAACTTCATTTCAGATCTGTGTTCTATCGCTCCTACAAAGAGCAAGAGTCGAAGAAAGGCTATGACCAAGAGGAAGTTTTTGAAAAGCCTACCCGTGAAACGTGTCAAGGTAAGATACAGTAGGATATAAAGACCGAGTTTGTTAATTTAGAATCATTGAATCACAGAATGCTTAAGGTTGGAAGGGACTTCTAGAGGCCATCTAGTCCAACCCCCTGCACACGCAGGGTCACCTAGAGCACGTGGCACAGGACTGCGTGCAAGCGGGTTTGGAAGATCTCCAGAGAAGGAGACTCCACAACCTCTCTGGGCAGCCTGTTCCAGTGCTCTGTCACCCTCACTGTCAAGAAATTTTTCCTTAAGTTCCTGTGGAACTTTCGGTGTTTCAGTTTATGGCCATTTCCTCTAGTTCTGTCAGTGGCCACCAGTGAAAAGAGACCAGCACCATCCTCTGCACTCCCTCCCTTGAGGTACTTATAGACACTGCTCAGGTCCCCTCTCAGCCTTCCCTTCTCCAGGCTGAACAGGCCCAGCTCCCTCAGCCTCTCCTCATAGGGCAGATGTTCCAGGCCCCTGATCATCCTTGTGGCCCTGCGCTGGACTCTCTCCAGCAGCTTCACATCCCTCTTGTCCTGTGGAGCCCAGAACTGGACACAATACTCCAGATGCGGCCACACCAGGGCTGAGTAGAGGGGCAGGATCACCTCCCTCGACCTGCTGGAGTTTGTTTGTATGTTTGTTTGTTTATTTATTTGTGTGTTTTTTAACACACAAATATCTTTAGAAAGATCTTTGGACATTGCAGCACTAGGCTGAGGTTGCAAGTACATCTGCTGAATTTCTACGAAACCTCAGTGTATTGAAAATTTGAGGAATCTAATTTTTTGGTTTTTTTCTTTCATTCCTCAGGCATGAGACATGCTATCTATGACAAACTTGATGATGACGGTCTGATAGCACCCGGAGTTCGTGTGTCTGGGGACGATGTTATTATTGGTAAAACGGTCACTCTGCCAGAAAATGAGGATGAGCTGGAAAGCACTAACAGACGTTTCACAAAGAGGGACTGTAGCACTTTCCTGCGAACTAGTGAGACGGGTATCGTAGATCAGGTCATGGTGACTCTTAACCAAGAGGGATACAAGTTCTGCAAAATTAGGGTGAGCACTAATATGTCTACATTTTCCACTTAATGCTTTTTTTTTCAGAACTTGAGTTATCCGTTGAATTTTTACCCATGACTTACAGGTACGCTCTGTAAGAATCCCACAAATTGGAGATAAATTTGCCAGCAGACATGGTCAGAAAGGAACCTGTGGAATCCAGTACAGGCAAGAGGTAGTGTATGTGGTGTGGTGTTGTGTGTGTGGTGGTGTTTTGTGGGTTTTATTTTACATTTTTCTACACTCCTTCTTCCAAACATTTTATTTCTCACCTGAAGTGGCTTGTTTGGAAAACTACTGTATCACAATATATATCCTACTGCATCACATTAGCGTGACTTAATGCTTTAAAATCTGCAAGAATGGTCTTAGAAAGGGACACCTCCTTTATACTAATGTGCCCCTGGAATGTCTTAAAATATTTACCGTGAATCCATGGAACTGCTTTTGTTAAAGCTGGTGCTCCGGGAGGTCCTGACTGTCTCTTTTCCTGCTCTAGGATATGCCCTTCACCTGCGAGGGCATCACGCCAGACATAATCATCAACCCCCACGCCATTCCTTCCCGCATGACCATCGGTCACTTGATTGAATGTCTCCAGGGCAAGGTAAAGAGAAGGACTTTGGCTGCACGTCTGAGAAATGGCAGCTAAAACGCTTCTTTTAAGATAACCATTCTCTGGTATTTGTTAATCCATTAGAAAGTCACAGTTGTTCTCCATTTACTTGAGAGCAAAAGCAGGTTTCTTGAGGGGGAGCTGCCACCTTGTTAGTTTTGTCCAGCAAGTGAAATTGCAGTTTACTCTGTGGTCGGCTGTTTTAATTTATTCCAAATATTCCCTCTCACTTAAGAAAAGAGCAGGATTGTTGATGATGTGCCTTTTTGAAAATCTCAGCTCTAAAATGTGTAGGAGATAAACAAAGCAAGACAGACCACTCTTGGGTATGAAGTCTTATGTTCTGGTATTACAAAATTTTTGATCAGCCTTTCAAAAATCTGACAGGCTTTTGCAAACCTTTTCTCTGTAGGTATCGGCGAACAAGGGGGAAATCGGTGATGCGACGCCCTTTAATGATGCTGTCAACGTGCAGAAGATTTCCAATCTCCTGTCAGATTATGGCTATCATCTGAGAGGAAATGAGGTAGAGCCAAAATGGCAATTCATCTGTAGGCTTTGTTTTGTTTTTAATGCACATTTTAAGGGCAGGAGGGCTTATAATTCAGTGGCTGCATTGACTGCTTCAGGTCCTCTACAACGGATTCACTGGCCGAAAAATCACATCGCAGATTTTCATCGGTCCTACGTATTATCAGCGACTGAAGCACATGGTAGATGACAAAATCCATTCTCGTGCAAGAGGGCCAATCCAGATCCTTAACAGACAGCCCATGGAAGGGAGATCTCGGTGAGGATGTTTATTGGTTTCTATGCAGGGTTTTCGTTTTGAGTCTTGGACCTAAACTTTGGTTGCCCCAGCTGTACATCTAGGACTTAATTGGTTAACCCTGATTAGCTACCCGTTTTGGTGTGTTTGCCTTAACATGAGTGCAGCCTGATTTAAGCCCTTCATCGTTTTGCTGTGGGGCTGTGCCGTGGCTGTCCAGCATGTGCCTAGATGGCTCTGGCAGCATTCTCCCCAAGAGTTTTACTCTGAAAGGTTAGAGGAAAAATAATGCTTAGCTTTATTCCTGGTTTGTGACTCTGCCAAGTTACTTGTCCAGCAGCAAGTGCCGATGTGTTTTGTCAGGGAACTCAAAAGGTCTTTTGGCTCCCCAGGGACGGTGGCCTTCGCTTTGGAGAGATGGAGCGTGACTGCCAGATTGCTCACGGAGCAGCCCAGTTCTTGAGGGAAAGGTTGTTCGAAGCCTCGGATCCTTACCAAGTCCATGTCTGCAACCTCTGTGGGATCATGGCGATTGCAAACACCAGGACTCACACCTACGAATGCCGGGGATGCCGTAATAAAACACAGGTAGGTGCCAGTTCATCAATCCAGGTTCCTCTTGGTGGGTAAGAGGACGTCGTGTGTGTGAACAGAGAAGTGGGGGAGTGTGTTGGGTTCAAAAGCACAAATGTTTCAGTGTTTATTGTGTCCAAGTTAACTCGGATATTTCCTTCCGAGTTTGCAGTGGCGGCTTTGCACGTGGCAGCGAAGGTCGTTCAGGTATTTTGCAGTGCAGGGTTTTCAGAGGCTTGAAAAGTAAAAGACTCGAGAGCCTCTTTTTAGAATATTCAAAGCGTAAAACTCCACACTGCAAGAATTTGGAGCTGTCACCCTTGTGACTGTTCCCATGAAGCAGTTATGTTCCCAGAGCTCTGCAGTGTGTGCTTGGTTACAGAGCTATGTCAAGGGGCAGCACAGATAGCTATTTTTATCTTGAACAGTCTTGTTCCTGTGTTGGGCACTGACTGTAACAGTGGCTTGGGCTAAAGAAGAGATGTGAGACAGAAGTCTTGATAACTGCATTTGGTGCATGCCAAGCAAACTTCCCTGGGTACGTTTTCCCTTGTAGAAGGGCTCCTGTTTAAGATCCCATTTCTCAGCTGCAGATTTTAGCACTAAAAATGAATTTTGAAGAGCTTCTGCATAGCCTCTAGAGAGAGTCTTATCCTCCCTCTTCCTTGTTCCTGCCTTGGAGCTTTGCTAGTTAAGTGCTTCCATACATAACTTCACATCTAGCTCTGTCCCCAGAACTTGTCAAGTTATTATGGAGAAGGTGGTGGGAGTTTGTGCTTCAGAAGTGCTAATCACAAGTCTTTTGAACTGTATTTCCAGATCTCTTTGGTTCGAATGCCCTATGCCTGCAAGCTCCTTTTCCAAGAGCTGATGTCCATGAGTATTGCACCTCGGATGATGAGTGTTTAGCCTTTAAAAGGATTTTTTTTTAAATGGTGAGACTGAACTGCTCAGGTTTTGTTTCAGTTTGTGTAGGTTGTATTTAGAATACAATTTTACGCATCTGCTCTCTACTGCTCAAGGTATTGTATGTTTATTTCATGTAAATAGAATTAAAATTTGTAATCAAACATGTGAATCTGTTTATTGGTATGCGTGCAAAAAAAAAGAGTGCAAGCAAATCAGTACTGAAGGGATAACGAAGGTAAGAGGGAGCTGATCAGTGGGCTAGAAAATGCCAGAGGCTGCAGCTTTCCATAATGCTAACTTAAAACTGGCGTAAGTGGCAGTTGGCCCCTCACAGCTCTGCACCGTCATCTGTGGAAAAACAAGAACACGAGGTGGGGTGGGTTGTTGCACAGGGTAATGCAGCAGCTTGAGCAGAGATGTGAGCCCTTGCTCTTGACCTAAAGGGAATCTTGAGGCTATTCAGGGATAGAAGGACCTAGGAACTTGGGACTGCTGCTCTGCTAAAGTTTAGCAAGCAGCAGCAAAGACAGTGGGATCCAAAGTGGCATTATATCCTCGAGAGGACTTGGGCCTCCCAGTGCTGTTTAGCCAGATGCTTTGCCCCCAGTACCTCTGCCTTCCCCACCCTTATATTTATGGTCCCAATCTTCAGGATTCACCGCCCGGCACTCCAGGAAACAGGAGTCAGGTCGCTTTCAGGCTGGGGAAGAACACGGAGGTGCAGGGACCTGGTAGGAATTGAAGTCCCTGAAGTGTCTTGGGGATTGGCATGCCAGGACTGCTCCCTGAAAAGGGGTGATGCATTGTTAAGTGTTCCGAGTATACGGAAATGCAGCCTGAGGATACTAACTTAGGCCTGGAAAACCACTGAAAGCTCTTTTGTTAAAAGCCCCACATCCATTTTTAATTTTGTATCTTCGTCTCCAGTGTTTAGCAGCACTTGGGGGCGCAATTTGACAATCCTGGGAATTCTAGCAGCTCAGACTTGCTGGGGATGTTTTGCCAAACAGAGGAAAAGCTGCACGTTAAACTTACTTCCAGTATAAGCTTTCTGCAGAAAGCATTACATAGAGGCAGCCTTCCGTATGAGAGAGCTGAGCAAGCTTTTGGAGGAGAGATCCGCAACGCCTACCTTTGGTCAGGGCTATTTCGTGAAGAGTTTCCACGACGTGGATTTTTGCAGAAGCTGTTGCTTCTCCTTTGGCGTTTGATGCGTGACACTCGTATTCTCCAGCGTCCTCTTTGCTCAGAGGAGATATCTAAGGGAGAAACCCCCCCGCAGTGTGTGTCCTGTAGTGGTAGTGCTTCAGTTTTCAGGCACTTCCTGAATAGCTCAAGGAGGGTCATGCAGAGAAGCGACAAGCAGCTACAGGGGCAGCAGCAGCAGCCGAGCTGGAGGGACCCTGCGGAGCGCAGCACCGTTCAGACCTGAATCCTTCTGCCTGCAGCCCCTGCTCTGGTTGAGGTGGCAGAGACTCTCCCTGCGAAAGCAGCCCCAAGGATGAGCACCCACCCCTGCAGCTCGGGCAGGTCTGGTTTTTGTTGCTCTGCTAGGCCAGGTGTAACAAGTCTCTGCTCTTCAGTGTTTGCTTCATTTGGAGATGTTGGAGCCTGGCACGCTTGGCATGGGGAAGGAGAGGCAGGGAGAAAAAAGCTTCCCTGGAATGTGCTGCATGCAGCAGCTGGCAGTGATTGCATGAAGCTGCAGCTGCTCCTCAAGCTTGGGAGGCCTTTTGAGTGTGAGAGCGGACGCAGCTCCAGGGTGATGGGCTTAACTAGGGCCACTTAGTGCTGCCAGAGCTGCGAGGGCTCCCCAGCTTGTGGGCCTGTCCTGAGGGTGCCCTGCCTCTGTATGCTGCTTCCTATGCAAGAGATGGTCTGTCCTTCCCGTGAATAGCAGCAGCAGAGAGCCCCGTGCAGGAAGTTCGCAGCTCCGGGCACACACACGACACTTACCAGCACCCATCCCGTCACTTCATGTTTCTCAGGCCCCCCTCGGGTCTGGATGGCCAAGTTCTCCCGGTCCCCAGGCAGAAGCTCCATCCTCTGCACGCCATACTGTCCCTGAATTATCTACAGGGAAGAGCAGAAAGGCTTGAGGGTTTGGTCATGCCAGAAGGGCTAGGACAGCGCTCCCAAGGGAGCATGTAGCCCCAGAAACGCTGCCTGGGCTGTGCAGGGAGGGTCTGGCCACCTGCCATGGCTGGCACCCCTGTGCCAGCCGAGCTCACCGGGCTGGCGGCCGCACAGCCCTGAGGAAGAGGCACAAGAGCAGGGCCACTTAGTTTTTCTCTGTAACACTCTCAAGGTAGGATCCTTTCAGCTCCATTAAGACCCCTCTGCAGCACAGGAGCCTGTGGCACCTGGCAGTGGCTCTGAGTGCCAAGACCGAGGCCCCTTGTGCTCCAGTGTGGCCCGTGCTCTAAGCTGGGTGCTACCAGCAGCTGTTGCAAAGCCACCCTGCGTGGTGCCCGTGTCCGTGTCCGCTCGGACACGGCCCGCGGCAGCGTGAGAGCAGCCCGGGGGATCTTCTCCGTGCGCTCCCAATGCCAGGCACTGACGAGGAAAACACAGGCTGAGTTCCACAGCGGGATCAACGAGAGTTTAGCAAAAGAGACAGCTCAGCATTAACCAAAGCCAGATGTCCGGGGGTGGACAGGGTTGCACAGATGGGAGAACTCAGGCGAGACATGTTTCTAAGGAGGGGGGCTGCTGTGGCCTGTGTGTCCTGCTGCCTCCTGTGTAGTTCCATGAGCCTCAGCTTTGCCAGGCCTCCCAGCAGGAGCCTTACCTTGTTCCAGGTGAGCACGGGTGTCGGGATGCCGATGACCTCGCAGCTCAGGTAGATCTGTGCTCCCGTCACGTTCCAGATGTCCTTTGGAGGGGTCACAATGGAAGGACCTGCCAAGAGGGAGAAAAGCTTCTCAGCCCCGCGTGGCTCCAGGGCCGCGTCCTCCTTTAGCGGCCTAAACTCACACGTTGAGCAGTTGGAGAGATGGATCTGGCCGCTCCCGAGACTGATGTTCAAGGTGAGGGAGCATTTTGCTCTGGTGTCTCATGTACCCAGTGAAAGGGACTGGCCCGAGGGCCACGTCGGTCTCTATGCAGGGCAGGAGAGAGGGCCGCAGGCGAGCACTGAGTCTCCCCACAGACCTCTGGTCTCTGCTTGAACAGGGAGTAATTTCCAGGAACAGATCAGTTTTGCAGATCTAGCTGGGGATGTTTATCCCTCAGGCTAGGAACTGTTGGAGTTGGATCTCCTATCTCAGGAAAGAATGGCCTTTTCTGTTTAACCCTTCCCTAGTGGGGCTGCTTTGCAAATACCAGCTATTTCCCCCACTTGGAAGCACAGCCCTACGGAATGCCTAGTATTTATCTCCACTTGTTGAGGAAAACAGAAGATTTTCCTGATGTTTCCTCCGCCTGCCTGGCAGCTTCTGGCTGTGCTGTGTCCTGGGGCCCTCTATGGGGTCCTGGACCTGCAGCCCCGGCCTCTGCACCTCCGCGCGGCCCTGCAGGCTGCTCAGGAGCGGTGTTCAGGTGCGACGCTGCGACTGGCACCTTCCAACAGCGCCGGGCCTGTTTTCCTCCCTGGGATTTGGGAGCAGATCCATGCTGGTGCCAGCTGCGGGAGGCTTCCCTGTGTGCTGGCCAGGAGAGGGCTGTTCAGAGAGCCGCAGCACCCTTTCCACCATGGAAAGGGCTCTTTTGCTGGAGTCACCCTCGCTTGGGGGTGCTGGGGCCTGGCGCAAATAGCACTCTGGGCGGTTCTCTGCCACCAGGATGTCCCCAGGGGCCCACAGGGGCCTCCTGTGGATACGCAGTGTGTGTAGCCATCCCATGTGTGCTGCCTCCTGCTCCAGCTGCTCCCTTGGGTGCCCTTCCGAGGGCAGAGCTCCTGCCTGTGTGAGCTGGGGTCACCTTGGCCCCTGGGTGCCACTTTCCTCATTGTCACCTTTTGCTGGGGTTCTCTGTGATGCTGGAGAAACACAAGTCCCCTGAGAACCCGCATCTCCCCCGACAGGGGAAAAAATTTAAAAAAAGACACTGATTCTTATGTTCTTATGTTAAAAGCCATGCATATTTAAGGCACCATTATGCTCTTTCCTGATTTGGCTCATTTTTTCCTCAGCTGGGACCTGGCAGCATTGCACGCACAGCCAGAGGGGAGCACCAGTGTCGTGAGAAGAGTCAGTCTCTGCTCTCTTGGGATATCCCACTTGAATAGCCAGAACACTAGAGTCAGACTCTTCCCTCCACTAAAAATAAATGAGGAAGGCTGGGGAGTCAGAAGATTTAAACGAGGATCACGACATACCCTGCCTGATATTTTTTTCCACTTTCTAGGGAATGCTGCTTGGTTCCTGTTAGGAGAAAACGATCATCACTCAGCGATGGCTACACCCTGACAGGGAAGCAGACCCTGGTTACCGCTCATGTTGATTCAGTGTCACTCGCTGTGTCACAGTCGCTCCCCACACTCTGCAGCAGCAGTTGAGCAGGCGGGTGCCTGAACCTCCTGGAGACTTTGGGGGACATGAACACATTAACCTGTGTGAGTGGTGGAGGAACCAGTCCAGGTCTCTGTTTTCTGCTTCCCCCTCACTGGGGCACCCAAGGACGCTGCAGATGTGCAGGTTATTTCGCACCCCCTCCCTCCCCCTGCTGTTTTGCAGGGAGCTTTTTGGCTGAACAGAAAGTGCAGGCTCCTTGTGAAGAGCGGCTGCTCCGCTGGTGTTCCTGAGCGGCTCTGCCCGGTGCTCTCAGACAAATAGCTCTCCAGAGCCAGGGAGAGGGTTCTCTGAGCCAGGGAGCTCACTGGCGCGGGGCAGTGAGCCTACAAGACCAGCACTTGTTTTTTGCAGCTCATGGGGAGCTGATGGTCTGCGGTTTGTCACAAGCAGCAGCCAGGGAAGATTTCCTGGGGCTGTAACTTAGTTGTTTTGCTGCCAAAGCACTGCACGGCCGTGCCTGTGACTTCCTCAGTGAGGCCATCGTTTGGCTCTTGTTTCCAGCGCTCCTCGGGCACCTTCTCCCTGCTCACTGGTGCCTCGAGATGTCCCATTTCTGCTTCTCGGCACCCAGCCCACCCACTCGCCCCTCGCTCGCGTTGGCTCTACCTTGCACGTGATGCCGTGACCTCTGTGCAGAGCCCTGTCCTACACATCCTCCCTTGCTCTGGCTTCCCCCAGGAAACCAAGGACAGCAGCTGTGGGTGAAGGGCCGCTGTGGGGACAAAGCTGCCCTGCTCCCTATCCCAGGGGCTCACTCTGCATGTCAGCCTCTCCAGAGCTCTGCTTGAAACAACAACGAGGAGCACTCTCTTTGGCAAAGCAAAGCCAAGCCAGGCGAGTTTCACTCTCGTGCAAGCCCGAAAATAGACTCACTCCGTCCTCCTAAGCTGCTGGGAAAGTGACTTTATATGGAGAAGAGGAAACCTTCTGTGAACGGCGTTTTCTAATTCTGGCTTGCGTGCTTTCTGCTGCTGCTTCCCAGGACAGTGCTTTGGGAGGAGCAGCAGTGGACGGGAAGTCTAAATATCTTCAAAGCAGTTTTTCTTTCCCTGTTCTTAAAGCTGCCTGCCTTTTTTTTTTTTTTTTTTTTCCTGGCAGGTTTACAAGCGCAGCTCCTTCTTCTGAAGCTATTTTTCTCTCTCCTTGAAGTCGAACTCAAAGAGACCAGGGAGCTTCAGGAAGGTGCTCAGAGCGCAATGCGCTGCAGGATGTCTGCACTGAAGGAGATGGGAGATGCTGGGCCTCCTCGGCTGCCCTCCCTGCTCTTGCTGTCAGACTTCAGCAATCCAGTGACCCTGGAAAGGTTCATCACGTAAAGAGACCTCGTGTTTGATCTTTCTATAGTACTCCTTGGGGTAAGAGGCAGGTGAGAGGGGGGAAGAAAAACCCAACCCACTTTTCCCTTCCCTAACAAGATCCCAATTGACTCCAATGTTGAACACACAGAAGAGGCTGCGATTCTGCACGCCTCGTGCCAAGCACAGTTCTCTGTTGCATTCAGCAACACCTCAAATGCATCAACCTGGATCTCAAAGCTGCAACGACAGGGAAGCCAATACTGCCAAGACCATGAGCAACAGCTGTTCTTGGTGCTTGTAGTGGTGTGTGATGAGGAAAAGCCAAGATCCCTGAGCAAAGATGAAACAGCTCTTGCTAACAGTCTGCAACAAGCCAGTCTATGACAGCTACCTTTCCTATTCCCTCTCTCTGCTGCTTTTTACCCACCTCATTTTTCCCTGTGTTAGTCTCTAAGAGCTGCTGTCCCTGTGCGTAACACAGAGCTTTGCAGCTGCCTTCACTGCTTCAGACATGTCTGTTATAACATTTGTGCTTTGTCCCTGACCTCCTCTCTGTACAGAAGCTCTTACCCTCTTGGCCTCCTCTCTCTCTGTAACCTTGGCTCAGTTTTATGGAGAAAACTCGTTATGTCATGAGAAGGATCGGGACTTGAAGAGAGCAAGACAAGAGCCAATCAGAGCTGAGCGGGTGCCTCTTCCAGATGCTGAGTGTGTTAGTTAATGCTCAGTGTAGCCAGTCGTTAGTCCTGGCTTCACCAGCGGGCGCCATCCCGAGCGGCATCTGCCGCTGCACGTGCAGCCGCTGAAGGGCTCGTAGCCAGTCACCGCTCAGTTACCTCAGACAGCTGCCGTAGGGCACCCTCTGGAGCAGGAGGGACCCTGCTCTGGCGGATACGGGCTGCTAATCAGCTTGTCTCCTTTCAAGAGCCCTTTTGTCAGGCAGACATAAAGCCTCAGGGAATGTGAAAGGCAGGAGGGCTGGCAGAGGCGGGAACTTGGCACGGCAGCATTTATTCATGGTGAAGCGAGCAGGGCTTTCAAAAGTCCAACCTGATTAGGCTCGTTATGTAGTAATCTCCAACTTATTATGAACCTCAATCAACCTCTGCCCAACAAAGGATTAGATTTTTAAACCCAGCATGCCTTTCCAGCAGCAGAAATAACAAACACAGGGAGGAATTTGCTGATCTAAAATAATTCCTCCCTAGCAATTTTATTACGCTACTATTTTTTTTTGAATGAAGACACAGGTAAAATGCAGAATATTCCTGGCTAGCTGGAGTGTTGAAGAGCACCAGTTAGGCCTGTGCTCTCCTAGAGCTATGCCAGCTAATGAGCTCCAAGCTGCCAAGTTATGTATTAAACAGTTTCCCTAGCAAGACCTCAGCATGGTAACCATAAAAGCTCAAAATGTGTTACGGTTCAGTGAACCACTACCTTTCCAAATAGCTAAACGCCTTCTCAGAAGGAATTAGGGCCTATCCTGTGACAGTGGAAAATACCCAAATTGTAGGTGAATTTGAGAACCTCAAGCACACAGCTCAGGCTTTACTAACATGGTCTCAAAATCCTCATCCTTGCCCAAGAGCAAGCAGGATGCCAAAGAAGAGCTGCTTCCACGTCCCCTATCCCTGCAGTGCTCCCTGTGGATGGAAGAACCGCATTTCCCAGCACATGTGCGCGTGGCTCCACTGTGCTGCGACCTCCACACTTGCAAGATTCATCCACGAGTGAAAAGCTCTCAGCTATAGGAAGGACAAAGAGGTCCTTGACGGACGAGGCAAGGCCCCCTGGAGACCCCAGGCTGGTAGGAACAAGTGTGAGGGACTGCAAACCCCACTGCCCTGCGAGTCCCTCAAGTCAAGGGCTGTGATGAGGCAACCTGAGTGGTGTCCAAGCACTTGCTCGCTGTCCCTCTAAGCAAACGTTTACCAATAGCTGATGATAACAGCAACTTGAGGTGGGATTGGTGCCCAGTGGGAGCCTGTCTGTCCTCGCACCGGCTGGGCAACAAGTGTGAGCAGTTGCCTGCTCCGAGAGCTCGTCATGCCAGGAGCCCTTCCAGCTTTGCTGGTGGGGACTGGCATTTGGAGGGCTTGTTCTGCACCGCTTGAGCTGAGCCCTGCAGCACTCGTTCCCTCTGCAGCTGTCTGGGAGCGGCACCGGCTGCCGCAGTCCTCATGCCAGAGGTCCTGGCTGCCTCCAAGCAGCCTCAGCGCCTGCGCCGCAGGATGCGCTTTGGCCGCAAAAGCAGAAGCTGCGAGGTCCGTACGAGGCATTCGATCACACCTGGGTGACGGCCCCCCTGTCCCGCTCAGAGCAGCCGGGCAGCACAGCCCGCTATGCTCGTCCCTCTGCTTGCCATCCGCGCCCAGGGAGGACTGGCTGCATCGTGGGTTGATGCTTCCATTCTCTGCAGCCCTGCTTGACTCATTCCCTTCGCTTCCCAGCGGTAAACTCGGCTGCTCGGGAAGTGCCTTTTCCTGCACTACTTCCCTGTGTTCACAAAAAGAGTGCAGGCCTCAGACTAGAGAGGCCTGGAAAACACACAATGCAGAATAAATCACAAGGACAGGGCCAATTACTCAGGCCTAAAGGCTGCCTCCTTCCTCCCCAGTGTCCGGCTCGTTCCCAGCTGGCGGGAGTACCTCTCGTTCAGCAATAGCTGCGCAGCAAATGCTGTGATGGGCACTGTGAGGAACACGGAAAGCTCAACAGGCCCTCTATTTTGTCAGCTTTTTCAAATAGCATTTTAATGAACCTTTATTCATCTGTGTGAACCAATGAACCATCTATTCATCTATATCGTCGTCTATGGTGGAAAAATGTGCGCATCTTCAGTAACAATTTGCATGTGAAACATTATGTAACTCCCTCCATAATGAGTTCTGTGTTTCTGGGCTGCTTTATTAGGTCTGCAGATGCTCTCTTGTGAAATGCAATGCAAGTACTCAAGTGGTGCTGCCTAGGCGGTTCAATCTCTGTGTATTTTGTTGGACCCTTCTGCGCGCATTGATCGCTAACACGCACAAAACTGGCTGTGCAATAGAGGTAAAAAGCAGACTCTGTACAACTCCCCATTGGGATGGTTAGAGAGATGCTTAAAGGCTCCCTTAAGTGGGACTCTTTGGGGTGGGACATTTAGGCAAACGCGGGTAGGGATGACGAAAGGAGCACAATGTCAGGAAGAGCAGCCAACATCTGTTGAGCCTCATCCTCTTCCTCGGCCGGGCGCCCCACATCTAGGCACCTCCCTTCCTACTGACGGCAGCGAAGGCCAGCGGCAGCAGCGCTCGGCATTTCCTCCTGCGCAAACAAGCAGTGCTGAATCCAAGCAAGCCTTCTCG